AGAGTGGTAGCTGGGAGGGGAGAGTGGTAGCTGGGAGGGGAGAGTGGTAGCTGGGAGGTGAGAGTGGGAGCTGGGAGGGGAGAGTGGTAGCTGGGAGGTGAGAGTGGGAGCTGGGAGGTGAGAGTGGGAGCTGGGAGGGGAGAGTGGTAGCTGGGAGGTGAGAGTGGTAGCTGGGAGGTGAGAGTGGGAGCTGGGAGGGGAGAGTGGTAGCTGGGAGGTGAGAGTGGGAGCTGGAAGGGGAGAGTGGGAGCTGGGAGGTGAGAGTGGTAGCTGGGAGGGGAGAGTGGGAGCTGGGAGGTGAGAGTGGGAGCTGGGAGGGGAGAGTGGGAGCTGGGAGGGGAGAGTGGGAGCTGGGAGGGGAGAGTGGGAGCTGGGAGGGGAGAGTGGGAGCTGGGAGGGGAGAGTGGTAGCTGGGAGGTGAGAGTGGGAGCTGGGAGGTGAGAGTGGGAGCTGGGAGGGGAGAGTGGGAGCTGGGAGGGGAGAGTGGGAGCTGGGAGGTGAGAGTGGGAGCTGGGAGGTGAGAGTGGGAGCTGGGAGGTGAGAGTGGTAGCTGGGAGGGAAGAGTGGTAGCTGGGAGGTGAGAGTGGGAGCTGGGAGGTGAGAGTGGGAGCTGGGAGGTGAGAGTGGTAGCTGGGAGGTGAGAGTGGTAGCTGGGAGGTGAGAGTGGGAGCTGGGAGGGGAGAGTGGTAGCTGGGAGGGGAGAGTGGTAGCTGGGAGGGGAGAGTGGTAGCTGGGAGGTGAGAGTGGGAGCTGGGAGGGGAGAGTGGTAGCTGGGAGGTGAGAGTGGGAGCTGGGAGGTGAGAGTGGTAGCTGGGAGGTGAGAGTGGGAGCTGGGAGGGGAGAGTGGGAGCTGGGAGGGGAGAGTGAGAGCTGGGAGGTGAGAGTGGGAGCTGGGAGGGGAGAGTGGGAGCTGGGAGGGGAGAGTGAGAGCTGGGAGGTGAGAGTGGGAGCTGGGAGGGGAGAGTGGGAGCTGGGAGGTGAGAGTGGGAGCAGGGAGGTGAGAGTGGGAGCTTGGAGGTGAGAGTGAGAGCTGGGAGGAGAGAGTGGGAGCTGGGAGGTGAGAGTGGGAGCTGGGAGGTGAGAGTGGGAGCTGGGAGGGGAGAGTGAGAGCTGGGAGGGGAGAGTGGGAGCTGGGAGGTGAGAGTGGGAGCTGGGAGGGGAGAAAGGGAGCTGGGAGGAGAGAGTGGGAGCTGGGAGGTGAGAGTGGGAGCTGGGAGGGGAGAGTGGGAGCTGGGAGGGGAGAGTGGGAGCTGGGAGGTGAGAGTGGGAGCTGGGAGGTGAGAGTGGGAGCTGGGAGGTGAGAGTGGTAGCTGGGAGGGGAGAGTGGTAGCTGGGAGGGGAGAGTGGTAGCTGGGAGGTGAGAGTGGTAGCTGGGAGGTGAGAGTGGGAGCTGGGAGGGGAGAGTGGTAGCTGGGAGGTGAGAGTGGGAGCTGGGAGGGGAGAGTGGGAGCTGGGAGGTGAGAGTGGTAGCTGGGAGGGGAGAGTGGGAGCTGGGAGGTGAGAGTGGGAGCTGGGAGGGGAGAGTGGGAGCTGGGAGGGGAGAGTGGGAGCTGGGAGGGGAGAGTGGGAGCTGGGAGGGGAGAGTGGGAGCTGGGAGGGGAGAGTGGTAGCTGGGAGGTGAGAGTGGGAGCTGGGAGGTGAGATTGGGAGCTGGGAGGGGAGAGTGGGAGCTGGGAGGGGAGAGTGGGAGCTGGGAGGTGAGAGTGGGAGCTGGGTGGTGAGAGTGGGAGCTGGGAGGTGAGAGTGGTAGCTGGGAGGGAAGAGTGGTAGCTGGGAGGTGAGAGTGGGAGCTGGGAGGTGAGAGTGGGAGCTGGGAGGTGAGAGTGGTAGCTGGGAGGTGAGAGTGGTAGCTGGGAGGTGAGAGTGGGAGCTAGGAGGGGAGAGTGGTAGCTGGGAGGGGAGAGTGGTAGCTGGGAGGGGAGAGTGGTAGCTGGGAGGTGAGAGTGGGAGCTGGGAGGGGAGAGTGGTAGCTGGGAGGTGAGAGTGGGAGCTGGGAGGTGAGAGTGGTAGCTGGGAGGTGAGAGTGGGAGCTGGGAGGGGAGAGTGGGAGCTGGGAGGGGAGAGTGAGAGCTGGGAGGTGAGAGTGGGAGCTGGGAGGGGAGAGTGGGAGCTGGGAGGGGAGAGTGAGAGCTGGGAGGTGAGAGTGGGAGCTGGGAGGGGAGAGTGGGAGCTGGGAGGTGAGAGTGGGAGCTGGGAGGTGAGAGTGGGAGCTTGGAGGTGAGAGTGAGAGCTGGGAGGAGAGAGTGGGAGCTGGGAGGTGAGAGTGGGAGCTGGGAGGTGAGAGTGGGCGCTGGGAGGGGAGAGTGAGAGCTGGGAGGGGAGAGTGGGAGCTGGGAGGTGAGAGTGGGAGCTGGGAGGGGAGAAAGGGAGCAGGGAGGAGAGAGTGGGAGCTGGGAGGTGAGAGTGGGAGCTGGGAGGTGAGAGTGGGAGCTGGGAGGTGAGAGTGTGAGCTGGGAGGTGAGAGTGGGAGCTGGGAGGGGAGAGTGGGAGCTGGGAGGTGAGAGTGGGAGCTGGGAGGGGAGAGTGGGAGCTGGGAGGTGAGAGTGGGAGCTGGGAGGGGAGAAAGGGGAGCTGGGAGGAGAGAGTGGGAGCTTAGAGGGGAGAGTGGTAGCTGGGAGGGGAGAGTGGGAGCTGGGAGGGTAGAGTGGGAGCTGGGAGGGGAGAAAGGGGAGCTGGGAGGAGAGAGTGGGAGCTTGGAGGGGAGAGTGGTAGCTGGGAGGGGAGAGTGGGAGCTGGGAGGGTAGAGTGGGAGCTGGGAGCTGAGAGTGGGAGCTCGGAGGGGAGAGTGGTAGCTGGGAGGTGAGAGTTGGAGCTGGGAGGTGAGAGTGAGAGCTGGGAGGTGAGAGTGGGAGCTGGGAGGGGAGAGTGCGAGCTGGGAGGGGAGAGTGGGAGCTGGGAGGTGAGAGTGGGAGCTGGGAGGGGAGAGTGGTAGCTGGGAGGGGAGAGTGGGAGCTGGGAGGGGAGAGTGGGAGCTGGGAGGTGAGAGTGGGAGCTGGGAGGTGAGAGTGGGAGCTGGGAGGGGAGAGTGGTAGCTGGGAGGTGAGAGTGGGAGCTGGGAGGTGAGAGTGGGAGCTGGGAGGTGAGAGTGGGAGCTGGGAGGGGAGAGTGGTAGCTGGGAGGTGAGAGTGGGAGCTGGGAGGGGAGAGTGGGAGCTGGGAGGTGAGAGTGGTAGCTGGGAGGTGAGAGTGGGAGCTGGGAGGTGAGAGTGGGAGCTGGGAGGGGAGAGTGGTAGCTGGGAGGTGAGAGTGGGAGCTGGGAGGGGAGAGTGGGAGCTGGGAGGGGAGAGTGGTAGCTGGGAGGTGAGAGTGGGAGCTGGGAGGTGAGAGTGGGAGCTGGGAGGGGAGAGTGGGAGCTGGGAGGGGAGAGTGGGAGCTGGGAGGGGAGAGTGGGAGCTGGGAGGTGAGAGTGGGAGCTGGGAGGTGAGAGTGGGAGCTGGGAGGTGAGAGTGGTAGCTGGGAGGGGAGAGTGGGAGCTGGGAGGGGAGAGTGGGAGCTGGGAGGTGAGAGTGGGAGCTGGGAGGTGAGAGTGGTAGCTGGGAGGGGAGAGTGGGAGCTGGGAGGTGAGAGTGGGAGCTGGGAGGGGGAGCTGGGAGGTGAGAGTGGGAGCTGGGAGGGGAGAGTGGGAGCTGGGAGGTGAGAGTGGGAGCTGGGAGGTGAGAGTGGGAGCTGGGAGGTGAGAGTGGGAGCTGGGAGGTGAGAGTGGGAGCTGGGAGGGGAGATTGGGAGCTGGGAGGGGAGAGTGGGAGCTGGGAGGTGAGAGTGGTAGCTGGGAGGGGAGAGTAGTGTAGTATGCTGCTGAAACACGGGAGAGTGTAAACTATGGAACAATATCGGTCTTTCTCAGCGTCCATCTTGGGGAAAAAATCAACCTGCTGTTTCAACTGAAATTATTTATATCAAATCTGAGAGTTAACGAGTCTGTTCTCAAATAGTTGTTGGCTGGATATGTCATAATTGGACCCTTGGAGAGTTCTCAAAACTAAATTCTTGTGTTGAATTAATTAGTACGAATTAAGTGTTTATTTGAAAACTGTTGGAACAAAGGGTGTTATAGCAACCCGTCCTCTTAAAAGTAACGTCACTTTTCGCTCGTATGCGCGGCTATGGCCAAATTTGGACGAAATTTGAAATTAAATCGACTCACAAAAGTGACGTACTGTCCCGTTTTCTGTTTGAGTAGTCTGGCTTACTGGGACAGGTTAGGAGAGGAAACTTTTAATTAACGTTTTTCATAACGTTATGAAAGTATATGAAAATTTCCTGCCCACCTAACCTACCAGAGGACCCTTAACTAACTGTTGTTGAAAAAAAAATCCCAAATTTATTTTCATTTATTTTCATTTTCAAATTACGTCCACTTTTGGCCATACGGACAAACGGCCAAAAGCGACATTATTTTTAAGAGAACTAAGTCTTGTGAGTACGAGCATTCAGAAGAGTTTTGTTTTACAGACAAACATTATTAAATATGACACGTGTATCTCTCTCCTGCAGCAGTTCGTCCTCTTGAGTTGACACTTCGTACAACATGCAAGAGTTTTGCCTAACCTGAAACGATATCATGAGCAATGAGTGACCCCATTAGCTCTACAGTGTTGATAACCCTAAAACTCATCACCAATCCAACGTCGTTTGTATTTCTTATTTTCTAATATTTGTTTTTTTTACAAGAGTACAGAGTAAACAAGGAATGTAAGCAAGAGTCAGAGAGACAGCTTCATTAACAGTTGAAGGTTAGCAAGTGTTGTGTGTTGGGTTGAGTGGGTGGAGGAGCATGATGGTGTAGAGGGAGGAGTTGGTGGAGGAGCATGGTGGTGTTGGAGGAGTGGGTGGAGGAGCATGGTGGTGTAGGAGAAGTGGGTGGAGGAGCATGGTGGTGTAGGAGAGGAGGAGTGGGTGGAGGAGCATGGTGGTGTAGGAGGAGTGGGTGGAGGAGCATGGTGGTGTAGGAGGAGTGGGTGGAGGAGCATGGTGGTGTAGGAGGGAGGAGGAGTGACTCACCTTATAAAGGCCTGCCTGATGTCCTGGAGGAGGGTGTAGAGGGCAGGCTGGGTGGCAGCGACGGCCTCCAGGAGGACATCAGTGGCCCGGGTCACCAGCCACGCCGCCTGCTGCGTCGCCTCCCTCGCCGCCCCCACCACCGCCGCCCTCACCGCCGCCACACCTCTGTCACAGTCACAGTTCTACATGAGCTACGTCAACACATTCTAACTTACGTTATATTGCACATTATTTGCTGAAACTTACAACAAAATATTACATTTATTTTTAAAGATTTTGAATTGGTAACTTATTGTATAAATTAAGACTTCTATAGATGATATCTGATTGTCAATTAAAATGTATTGATTGTTGAAGAAGCTGTATACTTACTGAGTCCACCATGATAGCAAATGGTGATGAAGAGTAGTGAAGTGAGCTACGACAGCTTCCCATCCTCCTTCCAGACGGTGTAGTGGTGTCTCCAGGTGTTGCCACAGGGACGTCACGGCGTCTTGCAAGTGCCCGTCCAACTGTTCCTGTCTGTGTGATGCGCTTACATGTAACCCTTCCATTATCAACCTCTTGAATTATTAACAGCAAGTTACAACTCTCATTCCTCTCTCATTCTACACCTCTCCGTCGTATTCTGCTCTCACCACCGAGACGAACATTAAACATTCAATTTTGTTTTACCATTATTAAACCTGACGCCACTTACAGGCTTTCCTGAGGAATAGATTATATTCGCTTGCTTATCACAACAACACATTTGCTGCTGTATGTGCAAATGTGAAGGATGAAGCTCCCTTAAGGTGATGGTACAAGGATGAAGTTATGGTACAAGGAGGAAGCTCCCTTAAGGTGATGGTACAAGGAGGAAGCTCCCTTAAGGTGATGGTACAAGGATGAAGCTCCCTTAAGGTTATGGTACAAGGAGGAAGCTCCCTTAAGGTTATGGTACAAGGAGGAAGCTCCCTTAAGGTGATGGTACAAGGATGAAGCTCCCTTAAGGTTATGGTACAAGGATGAAGCTCCCTTAAGGTGATGGTACAAGGATGAAGCTCCCTTAAGGTTATGGTACAAGGATGAAGCTCCCTTAAGGTGATGGTACAAGGAGGAAGCTCCCTTAAGGTGATGGTACAAGGAGGAAGTGAACAGATGTGTGAGGTTAGCCGTAGTAATACACGTATTGAGGGAGGCGGAGAGGGACACACACTTGAGTGTAGGACGACCACAGGGACGAGTACACACTTGAGTGTAGGACGACCACAGGGACGAGTACACACTTGAGTGTAGGACGACCACAGGGACGAGTACACACTTGAGTGTAGGACGACCACTGGGACGAGTACACACTTGAGTGAAGGACGACCACTGGGACGAGTACACACTTGAGTGAAGGACGACCACTGGGACGAGTACACACTTGAGTGTAGGACGACCACTGGGACGAGTACACACTTGAGTGTAGGACGACCACTGGGACGAGTACACACTTGAGTGAAGGACGACCACTGGGACGAGTACACACTTGAGTGAAGGACGAGTACACACTTGAGTGAAGGACGACCACTGGGACGAGTACACACTTGAGTGTAGGACGACCACTGGGGCGAGTACACACTTGAGTGTAGGACGACCACTGGGACGAGTACACACTTGAGTGTAGGACGACCACAGGGACGAGTACACACTTGAGTGTAGGACGACCACTGGGACGAGTACACACTTGAGTGAAGGACGACCACTGGGGCGAGTACACACTTGAGTGAAGGACGAGTACACACTTGAGTGTAGGACGACCACTAGGACGAGTACACACTTGAGTGAAGGACGACCACTAGGACGAGTACACACTTGAGTGTAGGACGACCACTGGGACGAGTACACACTTGAGTGTAGGACGACCACTGGGCCGAGTACACACTTGAGTGAAGGACGAGTACACACTTGAGTGTAGGACGACCACTGGGACGAGTACACACTTGAGTGTAGGACGACCACTGGGACGAGTACACACTTGAGTGAAGGACGACCACTGGGACGAGTACACACTTGAGTGAAAGACGACCACTGGGACGAGTACACACTTGAGTGAAGGACGACCACTGGGACGAGTACACACTTGAGTGAAAGACGACCACTGGGACGAGTACACACTTGAGTGTAGGACGACCACTGGGACGAGTACACACTTGAGTGTAGGACGACCACTGGGACGAGTACACACTTGAGTGAAGGACGACCACTGGGACGAGTACACACTTGAGTGAAGGACGACCACTGGGACGAGTACACACTTGAGTGAAGGACGACCACTGGGACGAGTACACACTTGAGTGTAGGACGACCACTGGGACGAGTACACACTTGAGTGTAGGACGACCACTGGAACGAGTACACACTAACACACTCAACGACCACACATGAGCAAGGTGGTGCAGGCAAGCTGTAAGTGCTGGAAGACATCTCACATGAGAACATGAGGTCCATCCAGTACAAAGAGCAAGAAGATTAGAATTGATCAAATCTAGAATAATTAATGACATATTAATGAATTTGAAGATTGTAGATATACAAGTTACCTAAACAATCGTAGACACTACGTCTACCCCGCCTTTCCCGCCCCCCCCCCCTCTCTACCTCCCTGTAGGTGTGTACTTAACTAGTTGTGCTTGCGGGGGTTGAGCTTTGGCTCGTTGGTCCCGCCTCTCAACCGTCAATCAACTGGTGTACAGATTCCGGAGCCTATTGGGCTCTATCATATCTACGTTTGAAACCGTGTACGAAGTCAGCCTTCACCACATCATTGCCTAATGCATTCCATTTGTTAACTATTCTGACACTGAAAAAAATAATTTCTGATGTCTCTGTGGCTAATTTGGGAACTAATTTACCACCTGTGTTCCCTTGTTCGTGTTGCACCCATGCTAAATAGTTTGTCTTTATCCACCCAGTAAATCCCCCAGAGAATTTTGTAGGTCATTATCAAGTCTCCCCTTACTCTTCTGTCTTCTAGGGATGTGAGGTTTAGTATCCATAACCTTTCCTCATAGCTCATACCTCTCAGTTCTGGGACTAATTTGGTTGCGAACGTCTGAATCTTCTCTAACTTTGTCTTGTGTTTAACTAGGTATGGACTCCAGGATTGGTCTGACATAAGTACTATACAGGGTCCTGAACGATTCCTTACACAAGTTTCTAAAGGTAGTTCTTATGTTGGCCAATCTAGCATATGCCACTGATGATATCCATTTGATGTGGGCCTCTGGGGACATGTTCGGTGTGATATCAACCCCCAGATCTTTCTCTTTATTTGACTCTTGCAGGATTTCACCTTAAAGATGGTACCTTGAGTTCAGCCTTCTGCTCCCTTCGCCAAATTTCATTAATTTACAGTTTCTTGAATTGAACTTTAATAGCCATGTTTTAGACCATTCCTCCAGTTTGTCCAGGTCGCCCTGAGTAGTGAAATGTGCGACTACGACCGTCCCAAACCATCTGCCCAGGTGGCTCTAAGAGAGCCAGCTGAGCAGATGCTGCGCGCGGTCGTAGTCGCAAAGGGTTTGGGGGGATTTTCCCGGAAGTTTGGCATGTGTCGGACGCGTGTGAGCGTCCGGTGTTTGGGTATGCGGTCAGGAAAGATGGGGGGTCATGTTGTTGGGGGTGTAGAAGAGTATGTGGGCTATGTGGGGTATGTGGTAGAGTAAGAAATACAAGGATATGAGTGGAATATGAGGATAATAGTAGATGAATATGTATGTGTGTTTGCCGTAGACTTAATCCTGTGTGTAAATAATAGTTTTGATTAAAGATGGTAGTAAGTATGCTATGAAGAGGCTGAGTGTAGGTGTGAGAGGTCCCAACATAGGCGGATATGTTGATGGGGAGGGGTGGGGGATGGGTGAGGGAGGGGTAAGGGGAGCTTCCCCTTGGCGTGAGAGTGCTTAGGGCCATTTGTGGTTTGTGGTTTTTGACGGGCATTATTTTTCTTCGAGAGAGCAGAGTCCAGGAGGAGATGAGAGCTGCAGCAGGAGGGATGTGGTCCATTTGCTTTAATAGATTTTCAATGTCTTCAGAGCGGTCTTGGAGATGTTCACCCCAACAGGGCTCTCCCAACACTGCGGACTCGTTAAGGAGGGGCGACGTTCTTACTTCCGCCAGCAGGCCCTCACCTGCCAACCATCAATCACTCCCACCCCTCATCCCCTCCTCTCCCCATACCAACAGGGGGTCCCCACTCCCTCCCCTCCATTACCTTCTAGAGTGGGGCACCCCTCTCCCCCTTACCTTCTAGAGTGGTACGGACCAGGATCACATACCATCACATCGACCTAAGAAGTGTCACCACATGGCACATCACTTAGTAAACTCAGTCAAAGTCAGTAGGTTAGCGTTTACTAAAAGAGGGAAACATTTTTTGATGGGGAGCGAGCCTGAGGCGTACCATCTCTCTCTCTCTCCTGACACTCTCACTGGGACATAGCAAAGGCGTGCCATGGGCACAACATACAAATTCCATCAAGAACTACCTACATGTTGCTAAACAGTGCAATCTCACACAAGGCATTCATATGGGCATTAAAGGCTTGCAGAGACGCATAAAGGAGTCCAAGACTGAACCCCACAATTCATTTTTAGCTAAGCAAGTTACAATCATGACGAGCTAGTTACAAAATTCAATATAAGTCAACCCATCGTCACGGGAGACGCGATCTCTACCTACAAATTGCTCTTGTTAACTGTGATCACATCATCTGCTGGCCCAAATAAATATCATTGAAATGTATGCGTGTCTACTCAATCTCCTTCACCTCTTCTTCCTACACCCATTACTGCTGTGCACATCTTGTAACACACAACGGCGTTATCATAGCAAGACAATGTCACAGAATGTTCAAGACTCCTGAATGAATGAAACAGCAATCCGTCTCGTTAGGGTCTAACCTTCGTGGTGGTTTGAGGCGTAGTGAGATGGACTAGGTACTGGGATGACCTTACCCTCTCCCCATCCACCCCCACCAACCCCCCCCCTCCCACCTCCCTTCGAAGCCCAAACCGTCAAGCATCACTTCACCCTTCCCAGACCGGATGCTCTGTGCAAAGCCTTTAGTATTATTTCTGATCATATGTGTAACCTTGTATCGCAATGTGACCAACATGGTATCATCATTCTTTGCTCAAATAGCATTTTTTAAGAATATCGAGAGTCATAAGCGGGTCTTCAATCTTATTATTATAACAAATCATAATTTGTTGTAAACACAACTGCATGGGATACACATAGCAGTCAGTGGTTTCTCTCTCTCTCTCTCTCGCTCTATTCAGATCATTTTATAGTTGGGGGAAAAGTAACATCAATTCCGTTCTCCTGCCGCCGCTGTTCGCATATCTTTTTTCATTTCACTTAGACTGGCAGCGCACCAGAGGATGGAAGACTAATGTCAAATTTTCGAGCCCCCATCACTCTCACCCTTATAACCTTGTAAGGTAACACGACCAACATGATGACATCGTTCTTTGCCCAAATATCATTAATGTAACGTGACCAATATGGTAACTTCGTTCTTTGCCTAAATATCATTTTAAGAGTAACGAGCAACTTTCTGTCCGATGTCTGAATATTGAAATGTGAACCCCATTTAGCCAAACACAATATCTCCATTACATCTCATATCATATAAATATTACGGTCTGCAAGTTTTAGACCTCTGTAACACATTGTAACGTAACGCAAATCAACTTTCTGCAGTCCAAATAACATTATGAAAGCATGACTTAGTCCATCTCCATTACATCTCCTACCATATAAATATTACTGTCTACCAGTTTTAGCCCCTGTAACACATTGTAACGTAACGCAAATCAACTTTCTGCAGTCCAAATAACATTATGAAAGTATGACTTAGTCCATCTCCATTACATCTCTTACCATATAAATATTACTGTCTACCAGTTTTAGCCTCTGTAACACATTGTAACGTAACGTGGAAATCAACTTTGTCTGATGACCAAATAACATTATTGAAAATGTCAACCATGTTTAGCCATTACATCCAAACACAAAGAAAAATATTACCGCTTTTCTTTGAGAAACTTATATGTGGTGATCATATCTCCAGAGTCCACACAATAAGCCACACATCACCCATCTTCTGTTTTCAAATCACAGCTCGCATCTAATTTAATGTTATTTTTTTTTGCAGAAACTATGTTTTGAGAATATGCTCAATGTCAGCAATTACTATTCGTATCATCAAACTCCTTTCAGTCATCAAACAAGCAGAGGTGCCGCATAAACCACTAAAGATTTGATGTATGCAAGGTACATCATTTTGACAATTCTGTCACCGACCCGCCTTAGCGAGATGACTGTGCGCAACAGTACCCGAGCACTCTTAATAATTTTATTCAAGCACTGTTAACATAGCATAATGTAAGATTTTTTTCACATTTCATATCGCGTGTGTAGATTTAGTTTTAACAAAAAGTGAAACACGAGAGAATGAACTAATAGGGTTGAGATAGGAAGAAAGGCTTTGTGGAAGATAAAAGAGCCGAGAAGACATGTTCCCTACCTACATTACTATTATTTCTTGCAGACCTGCAGACCTGTCCAGAAAAGCAGTCAGTCAGTCACTCAGTCAAACATTTTTATAGTTAAAAGTTTTTCATCTTAAAAAACAGGGACTACTAGTCTTCAATTTTTTCTTCTATCAAATCAAATAGACGCGAGGGCCACTACGTATTGTTGTTGTCTGTCTGTCTATCGCTTGACTAGGTTAAGGACCGCAATATCCCACACCATATATGCTACGGGCTCTCACTAGTCATAAACCAATTTTGTATCATTTCTCTACTAAATAGCACTCCGAATCATCTTTGCACATTTTAATTTTACATTGTCACGTGCACAGCCATCAAAGGGGATCTCACTACTGCACGGATGTCTTGTGTGTGTGTGTGTGTGTGTGTGTGTGTGTGTGTGTGTGTGTGTGTGTGTGTGTGTGTGTGTGTGTGTGTGTGTGTGTGTGTGTGTGTGTGTGTGTGTGTGTGTGTGTGTGTGTGTGTGTGTGTGTGTGTGTGTGTGTGTGTTTGTTTTTGTGTGTGTGTGTGTGTGTGTGTATATGTGTGTGTGTGTGGTGTGTGTGTGTGTTAAATAAAAGGTCCTTACATAGCTTATCATTTTCTTTGAGAAACTTATATGTGGTGATCATATCTCCTGAGTCCACACAAATAACCCACACCAACCCACATCCATTTTGAGAAAGAGAGAGAAGGCAAACATAGCTTGGTTATTGCATCTAGTTTTAAAAAGGGGTAAGAATAAGAAGAGTCATGTTCCATAAAAATACTTAATTGCAGACCTCTGGGATATGTTGGTTCTTCAGACCACCAGGCTATCTTTACTACACTGGCTATCCCGACAGATCGAGGTGAAGAATCTGTTCGTACTACCTGGCTATGGGACAGAGGGAACTGGCCAGCCCTACGTTCAGAGCTTGAAGTAACTGATTGGCATGCCTTGCTCCAGGGGGACGTGAACAGCCAAGTAACGCTTTCACCAGTCATATACTGGACCTCCAGTATAGGCATATCCCTCACCGGCAGTATGTGACCAAGCCCACTGATCAGCCTTGGTTTGGATATCGGTGCCGGATGGCAGCTGAAGCCAAAAACAAGGCCTGGAGGAGATTTAAACGGCATCCCTCGGCTCATAACAGAAACATTCATAGACAATCTTGTCGAATAATGAAAGAAGTTCAAAAGTGGGCTATATCCAGATGGGAATCCGAAACTCGAAGAAAACTTGCATCTGGAAGGGTTGGATCCAAGGTCTGGTGGTCCCTGGTG